ATGGCAGCTGGCCAAGAATGAAAAATGGCAGTGGAAATTGATAGCCCATCACCTCCAGTGGTGAGACAGCAGCAAAGAACTGGCTCCTTCAGTACCCGCATCAATAAGCTGCCAACTCTCCTTACGGCTAAGAGGCACAGATGAAATACAGAGTCGGTCCTTGGGATCAGGATAGCGGCGACACCAAGGAGAGGATGAAGATGAAAACAAAGGGAGATAATTTGCAGCAGGCAGGAATCAGTCAGGGTAATGAATGACCATAATAGGTCTGACACCAGGCCAAAAGAGGGGGGGGAGGAAAACTGCACGAGGGCGACTGGGATAGCCACTCCACAGTCGTCTTCCAGCCTCTCCAAACACCCCCAGATCTTCCAGTGATCAAATAACTCGTGCCCCTAGCCTCCACCAGATCTCCATGGAGGCCTCCAGGTCACTATAGGGGCTGGCTCACAAAAAATTGAGCCAGACTCACTCCGGCGTCCCAGGCAGTTCCAAGATGACAAGATGACAGGCCACCATCAAAATATCCCCCGTCGCCATCAGCTGATGGCCGCCAGGCCACCACCGCCATTACTGCCACCATTACCGCCGTCATAATTGCAGTCGCCGCTGCAGCCGCCACCGCTGCCGCCAATGTCCTCACTGCTCCCCAGGTCCTCCAGGAGGAACCTGTTAGAGGAAAGAACATTATATGATAAATGTTCTTTCCTCTAACAAAAAACAAGTGTTTAAATATTTTATCCAAATTTCATTTCATATATAATATTTCATCTCCATGCTTTATTATCTATCCATTGATAAAATAGCTCCCATATCAAATAATATTGTTTGTCTTCCTGTTCTCTTATTTCAAATGTCAATCTACTCATTTCAGCACAATCCAACATTTTCTTAATAATTTCCTCATCTTCTCTCCTTTCTAATTTTTTGCAAATACAATTCTAGCTGCTGTTAAAATATTCACAATTAAATATTGCAATTCTTTATTAAATGTCTCTGGTAAGATCCCTAATAAAAATGTCTCTGGTTTAAAGTCAATATGTCTCTTTGTCATTTTTTCCAACCACGTGTGTATCTTAGTCCAAAATCTCCTTGCTTCTACTGATGTCCACCACATATAAGATCCTGAGGTCTGATGACACTTCCAACACTTCTCTGATTTGTTCTTGAACATTCTGGCTATCCTCATCGGGGGTAAATGCCACCTGTAAAACATCTTATACAAATTCTCTTTATATGCCGTAGACATTGTCATTTTATAATTACGTGACCACAATTTTTGCCATTTCCCTAAATCAATATCATAACCAAAATTTTTCCCCCATTGATTCTTTAACTTGTTCTTCTTCCAATTTTACCTCTAGCAAATATCCTATAACTTTTTAATTACTTGGTCATCAGAACCCATTAATATCTTATCTAAAATAGTCAAAGCATTATAAAAGCCTTCTTGTTTGAGAACTTGATATCTAGAAAATGTTTGCATATATGAAAACCAATCCATCTTAAATCCCTGATCTTCTAAGTTTTGTTTTAATTTAAGATCACCCTTTTCATCCAATAATTCACTATATCTAACAATTTGTTCCCCTTTGAATATCACTGGATATAAAAAAGCTTCAATTGTATATACCCAGACTGGAATCTTAAAATAATGATATTTTTTAATCCTCTCCCAGTTATAAAACAAGGCTTCACGTATCTGATGTCTTCTAAAATACCCCTGTATTTTAGTTTCTTTGTATCATAAAAAGGCATGCCACCCCATCAACAAATCATGTCCCTCCAAATTCAGTAATCTAGTGTTTTTCACAGAGGGCCCAAAGAGCCACATGGGGCTCCGGAGCCGCAGGTTGCTGACACCTACGCTGGTGGAATAGGCAGCCCAGCAGTTCAAACTACCTTTCCCCAAAAGTTATAATCCCCCAAAATCAAATAGATGATGCAACTTGAAATCAAAATTTATCCCTTTCCAAAGACACTGGATTTGACCTTCTATTTCCAATCATTTGTAAATTGTACACAGGGCACTAGTCCACAGTCACAAGTTGCAGCTTTCATAGAAAAGAACACAGTGTATAAACAGCACAATTATCTGACATTTAAAGCTCTAGCAACGGTGAGTTACCAAAGCAGCAACTTAAGAGATTTGTTATCAGTTGCCAACAGACTTCTACCCTTCTCTCAAACCAACGGCTTGATGTAGAAAGTCTGCACACAAGCTCCCACATTTAGGGACAAACCCAAGCGACAACTCTACGGAACTGGGAAGAAGGAAGCAATTTAATTACGATCAATTGAATGCGTGCCAAATGCTAAATGAAGGCACTGTGAATTCCTGGATTTGACCCACTGAAGCAGTGAAGTCCAAATTAATGTCACCAAGTTCCAGGTCTCTTCTGGGTCATTGGTCAGAAAGAGGACAAGGCCGCAGGGAGGAAAGTAAGATGGTCAGATGTTCACATCCAGATTTCTTATGTTTTCTTCCGGCTGCAAGCACACAACCTCAAGAACTAACTCGTTCAGAACCAGGCAACTCCTTAATCAAAGGTCTGCTCCAATGGGGTGAAGATCTTGAGTATCTTGAGTCCTGGTGTTGGGCATCTATTCATCAAACCCCCCAAATCTTCCATCTCGGGGTGTTACCTGTGCCTCATACCCCATACGTCTAGTTTTCAGCCATGTATCTGGATATTCTGTGGTTGAGTGACTCCCATATATCGACACGCCCCCCCCCACTTGATAAATGGTTTCACAAGCTTCCCAACCACCCTTCCATCCTCCACCATTCAGTCAGAACTGAAGAAGCTTCTTGGATGAGAAGCAAAATGTCTTCAAGGAAAATCAAAGCCGAGTGCCCTTTTGAAAAAGCACCTTTGGGACAACCTTGACTTGGATAACCAAGGATCGCCATAGACTTTCCCAACCACCCATACAACATTAAGATCAAAACGAGATTAAAAGAGCTGCTGCGGTGGCGCAGTGGTTAGAGTGCAGAACTGCAGGCTACTTCTGCTGACTGCGGGATGCCAGCAGTTCGTCAGTTCGATTCTCACCAGGCTCAAGGTTGACTCAGCCTTCCATCCTTCCGAGGTGGGTAAAATGAGGACCCAGATCATTGGGGGCAATAGGCTGACTCTGTAAACTGCTTAGAGAGGGCTGTAAAGCACTGTAAAGTGGTATATAAGTCTAAGTGCTATTGCTCTTCCTTCCTTCCTTCCTTCCTTCCTTCCTTCCTTCCTTCCTTCCTTCCTTCCTTCCTTCCCTCTCTCCTTCCCTCCCTCCCTCCCTCCCTTGGTGGTGCAATAGTTAGAATGCAGTATTACAGGCTAACTCTGCCCACTGCCAAGAGCTCGATCCTGATGGGTTCAAGGTTGATTCAGTCTTCCATCCTTCTGAGGTGGGTAAAATGGGGATCCAGATTGTTGGGGGGAATATACTGACTCTGTAAACCGCTTCGAGAGGGCTGTAAAGCACTGTGTAGCGGTACATAAGTCTAAGTGCTTTTGCTATCTGATAGGGGACGGGATGCTAGTGAACCGTTACGCACAGTCACTCATGCCCTCGTCACCTCTCGTCTGGACTATTGTAACGCTCTCTACATGGGGCTCCCCTTGAGGTGCACCCGGAGGCTCCAACTGGCGCAGAGTGCGGCCGCGCGGGTGGTTATGGGAGCAACATGGAGCTCCCATGTAACACCTCTACTGCGCGAGCTGCACTGGCTCCCGGTGGTCTTCTGGGTGCGCTTCAAGGTTCTGGTTACCACCTTTAAAGTGCTCCATGGCTTAGGACCTGGTTACTTACGGGACCGCCTACTACCATCAATAGCCTCCCACCGACCAGTACGCTCCCACAGAGAGGGGCTCCTCCAGGTGCCGTCGGCCAAACAATGTCGGCTGTCGGCCCCTAGGGGGAGAGCCTTCTCTGGGGGGCACCGACGATCTGGAATGAGCTCCCCCCAGAGATACGGAGGATTCCGGACCTGCGCACCTTCCGCCGCGAGCTGAAGACGTTGTTATTTCATCAAGCTGGCCTCGCCTAAATCTTCTCCCTTTTAAGTGTAAATTTTAAATTTTTACTGTATTTTAAAATATGGGAATTTTAAATTATGGGTATTAATTCAGCCAAATTTATTTAATTCATTTTATTCGATTTTAAATTTTGTATATCTATGTGTTTTATTTCATGGCTGTGCACCGCCCTGAGTCCTTCGGGAGTAGGGCGGTATAGAAATTCAATAAAATCTAAAATCTAAAAAAAAAAAACCTATGGCCAGGATTTTACATCAGCAAAAGAAAATACTAAAAGCATCCCACAAATTCAGAACCATTGGAAAAGCCATAACTGCTCCAGACTGGGGTCTGCAGGAAAATCCAATCCATTCAAAATGGGCATCAAAATTGCATGTTTATCACCCAACCCCCGTGTTCTGCATTGTACATGCAATATACCGTATTTTTCAGAGTATAAAACGCACCTTCCCCCGCCCCTAAAAGAGGCTGAAAATTTGGGTGCGTCTTATACTCCGAATGTAGCTTTTTCGAAGCTTTTTTTCAGCCTAACGGGGTGCTAACAAGGCACGAGCGAGGGAAGCGATCTTCCCAGCTTTGCCTGCTCCCTCGACTCTCTGCTATGCTTTAAGGAGGCACTGGCGAGTGAAGCAAACTCCATGCTTTGCTCAGACTCTCAGCTGTTCTTTAGAAGCCTTTTTTCCAGCCCTAACTAGGTGCTAGCCGAGTGAAACGATCTCCCGTGCTTTGCCTGCTTTTCTCATTGCTGCTTCTTCTCAGCTGTGCCTTAGAAGCTGTTTTTTTTATCTCCAAGCAGGGGATAAAAAACTAACAAACTAATGTGCTGAAGCTGACCAGACTAAGAATGCTAGCCAGATGAATACCTGGTAGGCAGATTTTTCCCCCCTATTTTCCTCCCCAAAAACTAAGCTGCGTCTTATACTCCGGTGCGTCTTATACTCCGAAAAATACGACAAATAAGCAAGGAGATGGGTTTGGTCATGCAAAGCCTAATTGGTTAAAATATAATTGAAACCTGACTGATTTTTTTAACCATCATTTTAACATCTGGGATTTTTCAAGTTACATCTGTTTCATGAACTCCCAGCTTCACTGGTGGAAAAAAAAATGGATTTTTTTTTTTTTGCCTCTGGTGCAATAAGAGAAAAAAATATTAGCATTCTAATCCAGGAGAGGGGAGGGTCAACCTCAGAAATCCAGATCTTCAATTTCAGCCCTGCCCGAATGAATATTAGAGCTCATACTTTTCAGCTTAAGTCGTGAAAAATGCATTAACGTTTGTGAAGTAACTTCAGGTCGAAATTTCCCTTCTAAAGCCAAAACCACATTTCAATCTGGTTTTTTCCTGCTTTACCACTGGCTCGCAAAGTAACAAAACCTCCTCTCCCTGCTCTACTCAACAGGGAAGCCCAGGCAGTCCTCGTTTAGCGACCGCGGCGAAGGTGGGGATGAAATTGTATCTTTCCAACCGGTTCTCGCATTGCAATTTTCACAGGTCTGTAAGGAGAAGGAGAGCTGATGTTAAGATCATCAAAGGGTGTGTAATGCTTCTCTTAGCGACTGCTTCATTTAACGACAGAGTTGCTGGTCGCAACACATTCTCTCTGCCTTTCACAACACGCATTTTTGTGACTTTCCCTGGGGTATTGCATGATAGCTAAAAAAACCAAAAACACTTCCCTATCAGGGGAGGCAGTAAAGGGAGTTATAAAATTGATTTATAAGAATTGAGTTATGCCATGGAAATGTTAACTTTAGGTGATTTTGGAAAGAGGCAGTTTTCTTTTCTTTTCCAGATCATAATTACATGTTGCTATGACAGCTGGATTAGGTGAAATCACCTCTAATGGCAGCGAACCCTGCAAGATGACGCGTATTTTTATGGGATGGGGCGAAGGGAAAGGTTCGTGGCTGCTGCAGCAGCACTGACATTGCAAGGCAGGATGAGGCCAGAATTCCTGCCAGAGGAAAATGGATCTGCCTCACTCCGGGTCTGCAATGCCAAGCAAATTGGATCGGCTTTGGCTTCAGCAACTCCAAGAGAAAATACGAGCTTGGCAGCAGCCGTTTCAAACAAGCCGGAGCAGAAACGAGAAGCCCTGCTCTTGAAAACAGAGATAGGAGAGACGGCTCCTTGGTTGCTCTCTGAGCTTGCTTGTTTTCTTGCCGACATGCACCGATGATGTAATCTAGTTTGGGTAAATGAAGATTAACAGCATTGGAAGGGATCTTGTAGGTCATCTAGTCCAACCTCGCTGTCCAACCAGGAGACCCTACACCAGGGGTCTGCAACCTTAAACACTCAAGAAGCCATTTGGACCCATTTCCTACAGAAAAGGAAACACCGGGAGCCACAAAACTCGGGTGGGTGTGGCCAACTCAACGTCACTCACTTCCACCAGTCACATGACTCCCCCATAGCCACGCCTACCCAGCCAGTCATTAGGACAGAGAACCAGTTGTTAAAAAACACTGGGAATCAAAAAACCCTTTTAACATATCTATCTCTCTCCCTCCCTCCTCCCTCCCCCCCTCTCTCTGTATCTCTCTATGTCTCTCTCTCTCCCCCTCTCTCTGTATCTCTCTGTCTCTGCCCTAGCTGCTTCTCCATCCCCCACTGTCTCTCTTACCTTCTCAGGCCAGGCAAGGAGTGACTGGGAGGGGAGGGAGAGGGGCGGGGCCAACTAGTGGTGGGATCATTTGACATGGAGCCACAGCAGAGGGAGAGCCAAAGAGCCGCATGCGGCTCTGGAGCCACAGGTTGCTGACACCTGCCCTACACCATTTCTGACGAATGGCAGTCCAATCTCTTCTTGAAAGCCTCCAGTGATGAAGCTCCCCCAACCTCTGAAGGCAACTCCTCTTCCATGGGTGGATTGTTCTCCCTGTCAGAAAAAATCTCCTTATTTCCAGGTTGAATCTCTCCTTGTTCAGTTTCTATCCATTCTTCCTTGTCTGGCCTTTGGGTGCTTTGGAAAATAGCTTGGCCCCTTCTTTTCTGTGGCAGGCCCTCAGATACTGGACGATCATGTCTCCCCTGGTCCTTCTCTTCACTAGACTAGCCATGCCCAGTTTCTGCCAACCGTTCAGGAACTGGGCATAGATACAAATATTGTTTTGCTAACTTCTATCAACAGTTTATTTATTTATTTATTACATGTATTTATATGCCGCCATTCTCCTAAAGGACTCAGGATGGCGAACACAAGTTAAGAAACAAGTACAATAAAATCATAATTTAATCCAAATAATTAATTAGTAGTAAATAATAAAGCCCGGAATCAGTCTCAGCCTATTTGTTTGAAAAGCCAAGTCTTCAAGTCCCGACGGAAGGAGCGGAGATCAGGAGCCATCCGGAGCTTAGTAGGTAATTCATTCCAGAGGGTGTGAATTTCGAGGGGATAACCAGATGAATCACTTCCTCTTGAACACTACTGTATTGAGGTAGCCTTGAGAGGGCATCTGCCATAAAATTCTTTCCTCCAGGAAGGTAGCCCAGAGAGAAATTAAATTGGTTAAAGTGTTGGGCCCAGCGGACTTACTTAGGTGACAATTTTCAGGGCATTTTTAAGGCCTCTTTTTGTGATCAGTCCACACCTCAAAGGGGTGTTTCGCCCCTTTCAGGAAATGCCTCCACATTAACAGTGCCCAATGAACAACAAAAGCCTCCTTCTCCCGGATGGCCCATCTCCTCTTGGTTTCTGATAATTTCCGATAATGGCAGATTGTTGGATAAATACCATATTTTTCGGAGTATAAGACGCACCTTAATTTTGGGGGAGGAAAACAAGAAAACAAGAATTCTACTTCTGCCTACCAGCATTTAAGGTGGTGCTGCTTTACACTGCCTTCCTCCTCCTCCTGCAAGCAAGAGGTGCCTCAGAGACTTGGTTGGGAAAGAGGGCGTTGATTACTGATAAGTTCTTTTCCAGAAAACTTATCAGGTGCTCCTGCAATCTGCAGGGACTACTCGCTTTCCTCCAAAGAGACCCCTCGCATGCTCTGGGGGGAGGGACAGAGCACAGCCTGAGGAACAAATCTCTTTGGGACGGTCTGGGGGGGGAATCTGCCTGGCAGCTTTGGGGAACAAGGCGGGCCCTACGGTTTCCGGCTGGCCAGCCCTCTGGCTGCCCAGCAGGCAGCTTAGGGCAGACAATGGTCGCAATGACTTCACTCCCCAGCAATGTGAGGAGCTGCCACCTAAGCCCTCTCTGTGCCCAGGAGCTGAGTGAGCTGAACAGGAGCTCCTAAAGTTAAACACCCCTCCTTTCCAGCCACCATTGCCTGGATTCCCCAATGCAATTCTCAGAGCCGCGTTTCAGGCGGCAGGCGGCCAGTTCCCCTGTAATGTGCAGTGGGGAACTGGGAACCATTTTGGATTCGGGGAGGGGATTGCAGCACTGCCCCCTGAAAGTGCTTTTCTTCTCATTGCACATTGTAGAGCCACGCGCCCTCGTCCTCCTTCTCAGCAGACTCACCTTTTCTTTCCTCCTGGCCGGATCTGCCGCCTGAAACGCGATGCACTTCTTTTGTCTCTACAAATCCCATGTTTGGAATTGGGAAGGAGATTGTGGGTCTGTCGCCCAAAAACGCTTTCCTTTGGCATCAGGATCAGGATGGCTAGTCTTTTTTTAATGTATAATACTATGCCTCTTTTACTTTGATGTGTCAATGCAGTAAACAAATCGCCCAATTTTCGATACTCCAATAATTTTTGTGTTGCTTTCTAATATGAACTTCTTGTAGATATACAATGTCCATTTTTAGTTTCCCCAATTTATTAAGAGTTATTTTCCTTTTTATCACCGAATTCAAACCATTAATGTTTATTGATATTGCTTTGGTTTCTTCTTCCATGTTTTACTTGTTACTAGTTTTTGTTGATCTTGTCATTCATATCTCTCTTTGATCCTTGGGCTCTTTTGATCTTGCCCTCTCTCTTATTGCCTTTTCTTCTTGTTCTTATATCGTCTCTCTTTTTTGATCTTCTTTTTCTTTCACTGCTTCGTCTTGGACTTTAGTTTCTTGTTCCTCTCTCAATCTTTGCTCTTCTTGGACCCCAAATATTGGTCATAAAATAATTCCACTTTCTCTATCGAGTCCAGTCTATGTCTTTGTGCTTGCCAATAAACCAATATTCCTTCTGGTATTAACCATCTGAAATTTATTCCTTTTTGAATTAGAGGTTTTGTCAAATATTCTCTCCTCAGGTCTCTCACTCTCCTGAATATCTGTTTCAACACCACAATCTCTTTGTCCTTGTATTTTATTGGAGTATTTCTTGCTACCTGTAATATTTCTGTTTTTATTGCTATTCTGGTAAATCTTACATGCACCTCTCTTGGCAATTTATTTCTCATTGTATATCGAATATGCACTCTGTATATTTCATCAATCCCATTTAATATCTTTTCCTTGGTTTCCTCCACCATTTCCTCCAGTATCTCTGCCACCACTTCTGCCAAATTCTCTCCCTTTTCTTCTTCTATATTTTGAAATCTTAAGTAGTACTCCACTCTGTCCATTTTGAGAGAGATAATTGTTTTTTCCTGGTTTTTGTCAGCCATTGTGAGTCTGTCATCCATTTCCTTCCCTTTTTTTTCTGTTGAATCTGCTTTTTCCTCCACTTTCTGTATTCTTTCTTCATTCTTTCCCATCATTGCCTTCACTTCTTTAAGCTCTCCTTCTACCTTCTCCATTCTTACTTTAAAGTCTTCATGAAAGACCTATATCATATTTTTTTAGTTCCAGTTGCATTGCTATAGTATCTAGTGTCCTCTGCACTGCAGGGATTGAAGCTGGTGTTATGGGAGGTAAATGCGTTGTTGCCTTCTTCACCTTGTCCTGTCTTGTCTACTATAATCCACTGAATTTATAATCCAAATAAGATTTAAATTTATAATCCCAATACCTAATCTACCCTGTTGGATAGATTGGTTAAAAATAGAAGTCAAAAAACTCCATCACACCCAAAAACACATAGCAAAAGGCCAAAGGGGAATAAAAAAGAAAGAGGAAAAAGAAGAAGAAAAAAAACAAACAAAACAACAACAACAAAGACTTCTGATTCTTCAGGTTCTTCTTACCTTAATCCAATTTTTTGTTTATCATCAAAGTTCAAACATTCAAAAAACCAACCAGCCCAAAAAAATAAAAATAAAAATGGAAAGTTAAAAAAAATACAAAACTTAATCCAATCAATAGAAATATTTCAGGAGAAAAAAGAAAGAAAAAAAGGAATCACTAAAAATGGTCAAATCCTAAACCAAAAAGGAAGAAGATAAAAAGAAGAAAAGCATAAACAAGAGAGAACAGTCACAACAAAAAGAAAGATTTCCAAACAAGGCTGTTTATATTGCTTCACTTGTCTTGTTCTTGTTTCTATTTCAAAAGCTTCAAGGGGCACACTGTTTCAATTTCTATTTCAATATGCAATTCTTGCCAGACATAGCTGTTTCTTATCAGTCCAAGTCTACAATCCACAATGTCAAGGCCAGTCCTCTCAGTCAGTTTAATTGAAACAATGTCTTTTTATTTGTGTCTGTAGATGGTGCTGCAAACCACTTTCACCCAGAAGAAAAGAAAAAGTGGGGGGGGGAGGAAAAGTTTTATAACTAGTTCTTTCAATAATTTCCACTCAGTCTCATTCACTTGGCATAAATCCACAAATTCAGAATTTACAGATATTCCATCAGGCTTCCTGTTCTTATTTTCTTGTTTTCCAAAGTAATTTTGTTACTTCCTTCAATTAATTTCTTCCACTTGGGTCAATCCACTTTCTTCACTGCTAAACAGCTGAGGGTAAAGAGCTGACACAAAGCCGGGGCGATCACAGCAGGACCTGAGAAGCAGCAGATGTGGATTCATCTGGGTGAGAAGCCTATTTTTTGTTTTGCCTTCTGATTTGAAGTTTCTTTTTACAAAACCCTGGGAAATAACTTGAAGGAAAGTGAAGGGTACAAAGAGAAGAGGGGCCCCCGCTCTCCCCTCTTCTCTTTGCACCCTTCACTTTCTTTCAAGTTATTTCCCTGGGTTTTGTAAAAAGAAACTTCAAATCAGAAGGCAAAACAAAAAAAATGGCTTCTCACCCAGATGAATCCACATCTGCTGCTTCTCCAGTCCTGCTATGATCGCCCCGGCTTTGTTGCGGCTCATTCAATGGCCGCTTTCTAGGTTGTCTGGTTGAAAGGCTACTTCTGATTAACCAGGGAATTGCAATTTCCCTGCGTTAGCCAGTATGTGCCTTTCTTGCTTACTGTCCCTCCTAGACAGTTTTTGGTCAATAAAGACCCCAAACAACTTCGATATCAACATTTTCTCAGGAGCATCCGAGAAGAACGTTGTGCCACAGCGACATTGGCCATGCCTCTTGGGTGGCTCTTAATAAACATAGCAAAAGACTTTCAAGCAGTCAACTTTATTTATGACAGTTGATAAAAATTCCTAGATTGAATGTACAGTTTGAGCTGTAACATTGTTTAGAGAGGAAATCTGCTACATTTTCCCTTTTTAAATGTATTACATTCCCCTCCTGTACAAGGAAGCAGCTGCTGAGTTCCAAGGAGGGGATTCATTTCTATATGCTGTTTGCTTTCAAATTCAGTTTGTAAATCCCATTCCAGTGAGTCAGATAATGAACTCTGTGCTACAGAGTGCTGTCTCTTTCTCCTTTCCCCCATTCTTAAAAATCCTGACTTGTAATATTGTTAAAATGTAGCTAAAACAAATTGATAGCCTCACAGTATGTAAAAAGTCAGATATGTATTTGAAGGGACATAGTGACAGGATCAATCTAACCTTTGCTATTTGTTTCTGTTATTTTGTTCTATTTTTCTTACTTACTCACCAAGGATGTGCCTAGCTTTGAAGTGAACAACAGAAGTGAGAAAGCAGATAGCAAAGGTTATAATTCTTGCTAA